CTCCCATCGGAAATTCCGGTCATCAACATCTCTGGGATTTTCAGCGACTCGAAAGACGCCCGCCTCAACGTAGCTCGCCAGATTCGAGATGCCGCGACGAACAGCGGGTTCTTCTACATCGAAAATCATGGTATACCGCTCGACATACCGGAGACGGCGTGTGAGGAGCTCCGCGGGTTCTTTCGGCAGCCGCAAGAGATCAAAGAGCGTGCCCACGTGAGCCAATCTAAGTACTTCAACGGCTACAAGCCGGCGAAGTCGCAGCGCATCAACCCGTTCGAGTCAGTCGATGTGCGTGAGACTTTCTCCTGGACTTACGATCCGAGGTATGACCCTTCGGTTCCCGACCCAGCTGCCGTCCCGCCTTATATCGCCCAGTACCTAAGATGTGAGAATTTCCACTGGGAGGCGACGGCCAACCGGCCTCAACTCAAGGAGGCCATCGTGCGTTATTGGCGTTCATGTCTTTCCGTGGCACGGGCGCTCGTGCGGTGCTTCGCGCTGTCGCTCGACCTGCCCGAGGACTTCTTCGCGGAGAAGTTCACACATCCGGATGCTGCCCTGGCGCTGAACTACTATCCACCCTTGCCTGCTCCACCGCCGCAAAAGGCATCAGCAGAGCAGGCGGAAGCAGAGGTCTCTATCGGCTCGCATACGGATTTCCAACTCTTCACGATGCTGTGGCAAGATAACAACGGGGGACTTCAAGTGTTGAATCGCCAGGGCCAGTGGATTAACGCCAAGCCCATCCCCGGGACGTTCGTCGTCAACATGGCGGACTACATGCAGCGCATCACGAACGACCGCTACGTGAGTACTGTACACCGCGTCCAGAACTATAGCGGTAACGAGAGGGTCAGCATGGCATTCTTCTTTGGGTTCAATCTAAACGAGAGCTGTGGCGTGCTCGATAGCTGCCTTGCCGAGGGCGAGGAGAAGAAATATGACGAGATTAGGTGCGAGGAGTGGGTTCAGAGACGTGTGAAAGCGATGCATAGGCAAGGCGAGTCCCCTGACAAATAGATAACACTGATGACGTTGATTGAGGCTTCTGATTTACTGCATTAGCCTTCAAAAACTCATTCATAATGAGCCTAGAGATCATGAGCATGATACTTAGCTCTCATCATATAGATGGAATAGAAACGCTTGTATAAGAGCTGGCATATCCTATACTGCCGGTTGTTTCCTCAAATAAGTGCTCATTTTGTCTGCTATCACAAAAACGGCTCCCCTTCTTTCACTGCTGTTGAGAATATCACTATCTTTTATAGGTCGCTACCGTTTTTTGATAGTACCCGGACAGCGAACCTCTCTATTTTGCAGCCCCTGATAGAAATAGTGGCATTGTGTTATACCGGGGCATCATCCTATGTTAAACCATTTCTTAGCATTTTGGATAAGCCCAATGAACCTTGTAGAAGTCTTCATACAGCATATAGGCCCAATCCATTTCCTCCGTACTCTGACCCTTCACGCCAGCGCACGTGCTGCCGGGGAAGTTGACGAGTATACTGGCATGCATAGTAAGGTAAAAGAAGCCCTGCTGTGAATAGGGTTGAGAATAGCCGCATTTCTACGCATGGCGCGAACTTTACAAGATGTCTGTTCCATCCGCGAACAGTGTTGGCCATCTCGTGATGTCGAATTTTCAAAATTCGATTGGTTGCAAGGCGACTGTGCCACAGATGCATGCGGCGCGTATCTTACAGGGAGTGTATACGGTAAGTCTAAGTGCCAGCTTTGGTTAGGCAGCAACAATTTATTCACTTTGAAGGTCTTTCGCTTTCTCATTTTGAGTTGCGCTGTTCGAGTTGTTTTATTTCCTAACACCCCTTTCCTCGAAAGCAGTCCCTCCATCTCCGTGAGCAAGATGACACCGTACACCATGCCGAACTGGCTTAGAATGTGCGTATTATTGAGAGTCTAGACTGTGTCACTCACTCACTCATATTATCATCCATTTATCCATCAGATAGAATTGGCTAACTGACAAACCGAATAACCCCCGTCATAGTTTCTGGTTGATCCTAACCCACTTGACTTTCCTACCCCAGGTTCTAGCTCTCCTCCGCCGCCGCGACGTATCAGGCATAAGCATCTATTATGTGTTCTTTAACCTTGTCGTGTCAACGGAGCTATTCACGCTCTCCTTCTTCTTCGTCACGAATCAGGCTGATGGCTCTGATTTCTTCGTCCACGATCCACCCGACGTAGGCGACTGGTTAAACCTGGCTCAGTTCACGGATGTCTGCGCTCTGTGGCTTCTCATGTGTGTGCCTACTTATAATTAATAAGTCAATTTATTGATAATATGAAAAAGTAATGACGACTAACTGCTTCCTCACTTCACCTTCATTCAGCTTCGTCCTCTCCATCTACTTCTCTCATCCTGAAAAGCGGTGGCAAAACGCTACCGTCGTGGCACTATACACATCCTACCTTCTCATCTCAGTCTTACCGGCTTTTCTCAACGCTTTACTTCCCTATTACCACCATGACTCCCCGAATGCAGGTCGGTGGTTCGCGACCCTTTTCCACGGCTCTCATACCCTGTTCCTCGCACCCCTGATTACCTTACTCGCCGCCGCCGCTCTGCCAATTCAGGTGTGCACCATCCTGGCTCTGCCTCGAGGCCTCGGCACCGGGGCTCTGAGCGTGGCGACGTTCGCCGCGCAAGCCGTCGTATTCGCCGTAGTAGGGGCGACGTGGTGGCCCGGTCGGCTCGTGTTTCCAGAGGATCTCAGCTCCCCAGTCACATATTTCAAGGCGTGGTACAGTTTGGTCGGCTTCGTACCAGTGGATTATGCGGTCTTCGCTCTGGCGCAAGCTGTGCTATCTTTCGTGGCCGTATGGTGGTCGCACCGACCGCGTGAAACCGATGGCGATCTTACCGCTGGTGCTGGTGAGAGGGAGCCATTGCGGTCAATGTGACAACAGGGAAGAGCGAATGAATAAGAAGGATCGATTGGCACTCAAATGGGGGGTGTGTAGGATCCTCTGGGAAATGATAGTATTTAAGAGAGCAAGGAGTAAACGTAATTCAAGTTCCCATGGATGTATTCTATTCAGTTACCTACATGGGTACTTAGGTTATGTATAGGCCCGAACTAGATACACACATGCGTGATCGGCTAAATCCGTCAATATAGAGTAGAATCCTATAAGAACAGGACAGAGAAGAAAATGGCTTATATGGTAGAGTCTTCAAGCATTTCAGAATCCTCATCCGCATTCATGACTGTAAATTCCACAGTCTCCGAACTCGGCATAACGACCATGGGCCGTCCATTGTTATCCTGTGGTTCCACGACCGTGTCGCGTACACAGAGAACCGTGACGACGGTATCTCTGTGCTCGAGCGTCTTGCGGCCCCAGTCCCACCAGTCCACGACAGCGCCATGGAAGGCGTACCGGTAGACATCGCCGGGCAAGGCATCGAGCGGCAGGATACTCCATTCTCTGTCCTCCATGCATCGCTTCGTCGTCCACGACTTGCCAGGATCCAGCGTCACGAAAGAATTATCCGCATCATCGTCGCTGTAGTCCTGCGCGACGCGTTCCGTAACGCGTGGCCAGTTAGCTATACTGTAACCCCAAGGTCCGGTGTCATCACGGTCGCCCAGATCGCATTCCTTCCACCTGATGCTGCCGGCCCTACGCCGATATGCGTAGAACCCTCCACCCAAACCGTATGGGTTCGTCACGGCCAATGTATGCAATGCCACGGGTCGTGCTCCTGCTATCATTATTGTTCCAGGAGGCTGCCCTGAGATACCCAGGACACCATCGTAGGTGACACGGACAGTTACCTCGAACTTTTCCATGAGCGTTAGCGTTGCGGGACATTCCAGTCTAACGGTGAATACAGGCCTCTCGAGGCCACGGCATGAGGCATTAGAGTTATCCTTCTGGGGAGGTTCAACATCCGCGGGTATGCCTTGCGTGCCCTGGGCCATCCCGGCCTCGACGCCAGCGCCAGCGGTCATTTTAATTTAGCGATAATATGGGGTGCTGAAGAAGGATATTGACTGTGACGAATTGTACTGTGCGCAAAAGAAGTGCGCGCAGATGTAGAAGTGCAACATATCGGATCAATGATCTTTATACGCAGTTGCTGTTGTATCTGCTGAACAAGAAAGGACTTTCTCGCTTCGGGATTCTACGAGAGTCGCCGTGAGAAATCATTTCGAGGGGGGATGGGTCATTATATCATGATAAAAGATTCTATAGATTGGAGATTTAACATTAATGGTTGAGGTAGGTAGGTAATCACCTTGAGCCGAAGGGGAGTCAGTCCGACGATGTATAAGGGGTAGATTGCGTGTATACCACCAATTTTGGGTGCGATACTACTGCATGTTAAACTAACAGCACTGTCCTGAGGCTATATAAGATTGACTTCGCCTAAGCCTAGCGGACAGGACAACTCTATTTATATATCACGATACAATATAAGGTACATTAAGCGGCCCAATTGCCTCACCCTGAGCTCATCACTGACATACCTTGTAGTGTGGCAGGCACGCTGGGCGTAGCCATATAACCCTCCCAGTGGATTCCTGTACAATAGTCTCCAATACCCATACAACATCAATACCACCACCTAATAACCCAACAGTAGCAGTTATACGGAGCGATTGTGAATACACTGTATCGGCCTCATACTATAAGAATGTCAAAACATACAATACGAAAGAAAATATTCAATTCTTTTCATTATTCAAGTTTAAGTAAGAGTTATAATAGCAATTCAGATTCTTAATCACATCCTTATCACGTGAGATTGAGGATCATGGAAAGCACTCAGCATTACCCCTAGTGTTAGAGGCTTCAACATAAACTTCACCGTGTTATAATAGCCCATCTTTATAATAGCGCTAATAGCATTTTAGATAAGGGATTAGATCAGTTATGTTTATAAAAGCAAAACAAAGAAGGGGATTTGGTATGCCTTGAATAAGAGGCAGATGACCAAAAAGTTGAGTTTCAATGTTGACCGACCAGGGCCTGATTCGAACAGACGCTCCCGAAGGAACTGCATAACGATAAACGCTTTAAATAGCTTCAATTCGAGTGCAGCGCATTAGGCCACTCTGCCACCTGGCCTTGCTGATGAGTGGTTGGGATTTTAAAGGAAAAGATAATATGTTTCCGGGGTGTGGGGACGGGTGTACAAGGGCCAGTCCGGATTTGGGTTTGTGTGCCACCAACGATTCCTAAATAAGCTAAGTGGCGCCAACCGGGGTGAGAAACAGGTTAGTCTGTGCCTGTTACCATCTTTAGAGAGAGCACATCGTTGCTACTTTCAGACTCGGTGAATTCACATCTCTTAACACACGACCATAGGCGGAAAGCGAGTAGCGAGGACAACATAGGCCTATACTATAATAACTGTAAATCAACACATGACATAAAAATTCAGAGACAGAAGCGATAGCCTACGAAATAATAGCTAGGCTATATAACCTCAACCACGGCAAGCCCATCTTAATGTAAGAGCTAGACTAGTAAGATAGATTATCATGAGATAAACATACAAGATGTCTACCTGATTGCCTAAATGAGTAAGATTATATTTACAGACAAGGGATTAAGGTTGATTCAGGGCCTTAGATCTGGCATAAGATTTAAGGTCGAGGTTCGCTATACCAGGATCACAAGACAATTTCAAACACTCGCACCCCCGCATAAATAGAAATTCTACCGTGATAAACCTTACCATTGGGACTCATAAAACAGTAATAAGCAATTTAAATAACGATATGATATGCCGGATAAACACGACCATATAGGCAACTTACTGTGTTAGTCTGGGTGTAGTTACTTCGCTTTTGTCAGGATGTTCTATTATAGAGTGAATGGATCAGTTCTACACATTCACGTAGCAAGTGTAATAGGGGTGCCAGTAGCCCTGAAAATGTATTAGCCCCTAGCCCTTCCAAAAGGTAGTTGGGGAGATAGCCTAAATATATAGACGAAGCCTACCGGTATACACCATGGTGTTACCAAGCCACCTAACAAGAGGCCAACAAAATCAAGGCTTACTTACCTGGAGACCTTTTTGATACGCCTGCAGAGATATCTCAGAAGCAAGCTTCCTCATAAAGGTAAATTCTGGCGACAAGCAGACCCTTCTCAGGGTGACCTCACAGAGGTCCTTGTCGTTTGCCTTAACTGTAAGGAGATCACCTGGCTGAACCGACACCCCATATATTCTTTACTGGGAGGCGGCTCTCTAGCTCAGCAGCAGGCACACTGTCATAAGTGTCCTCCGACAAGAACTTGTTTTATCCCAGTGGACAAGTCTATTCCTTTTCGGAGATACGAGTCACTTCATAAGTGGTATAAAAGACGTCACACATGAGGGCAGTGTACCAGTCCGAGGACAGGTGATTTTCTTCTTGAGCCCGGTCTTTACTTCAGCATGGCCTTGAAAAGCTCCTGAATTGATTTTCTGAGCCCGGTCTCTGCTTCTGCAAGGCCTTGATACGCTCTAGAATTCACTGCATCTACGGCCAGATGAAGGTATGAATGTCCCTCCTCCTGATGCCTCGCAGGATATTGGCCTTCACATATTTCTTCGTCTGGCCGAGGAGGGAGTGGCATATCATAAGTTTTTTTTTCTGAGACAGGGGCAAGGGAGCGCGGTACCTGTGCTTTGCTCAGCTTGGTGGAGACATGGAAGGAGAGGCATATTATGCTCTTGCTCGTGCTCTAGGCATATTGGTATGCTGGAGGGAGTAGCATATTAGGGTCTGGTTCGCGAATTGTTTGGCGACCTGCGTCTTGGAGGCAGATGACATATTACGCTTGTGCTCGTTGCTCTGGGAGACCTGGTATGCTAGTGGGAGTGGCATATTAGGGTTTGGTTCGTGGATTGTTTGACGACTTGTATGTTGGAGGGAGAGGCATGTTATGCTTGTGCTTGTTGCTCTGGGTGACTTGCTGTTCTGGTTGGTAAGTTCGTGATGTCTCTTATCTGAAGAGCAGACTTAAGGCTAACAGCAATGCCTAGGTGAACGTTCGAAAATCTTGCTCTGCAAGGCTGTCCCAAGACCTTATATCTCAATCCGGGTTGATTTCTCGCGGCTGTGCCGTCACTGCGATCCATCACTCTACAACACCAATACCACAATCGCTTCCATTGATTTTTGAGAGCCCCGCAGCCTCCTAAATCTCGAAATCGCTGCCCGGTACATTCTTTGTTCATGCTACGGTTCAAAAAGACTTCAATGAGGGTCTGCACTTGCCTCTATACAGAGAGTTCCTCTATCCCCTTGTATGTCCTATCGCCTAGTACGGCACCCCCTCATCAATACCATCAACGCAAGTTCAGCAGCCAAGACACAGCTAACAATCCTCCACAGCATCATTGAAGCAGACATTGCCTCTTTGAGCCACAAGGTAGCATGACACCGCAACAGCTCCGAAACACGAACTAACCAACTACATATATAGACCCTCTCACAAGATCTCGTTAAGGCCGCCGAAAAGATCGGTATACTCAAGGAACGCACCAGTACTTCTGCAGTCCCATGCAAGACTAAGACTAGCTGCCTGTCTGCGCTTCGTGGCGACGAAAAGATATCTTAAAACGCCGGATGTTGTTTCTCTCTTGGACAACACTCGACGAATTTAAACCTCGCATCGAGAAGGAAAGATACACGACTTAATACCAATGAACCCTATACGCAGTACCAAAGCTCAGTGAATCTTCAAAGCTATAATTGAAACCATATCCTGTGAACATCCATGATAACGTAAATTGGGCAGAGCGAACAGTGAAAAGCTTTTTCAACATCTTAGGAAGAACATACGATACTCTAGACAGAGTCATACGAGCTTATTGCGAAACTTCTTGAAACATCGTCCGTTCAGCCTGTTCCTCGCCGACTTTATATGACCAGCAAGAAATCTCAACTCACATAACTTTCTCAGAGTTATGAACTCATACGCCAAGGCGGCTGTCAGGTGGATAGGTGATTCCCTAGTGTGTGCCTATCAGACTTCGTCTATATATACAGGCTATCCCTCCCAACTACCAGTTCGAAAGGCTAGGGGCCATTTGAGCAATACACCTTCATGGCTACTGACCCCTTTCTACCTACCTACTATGTGACTGCTTAGGCTATCCATCCACTCTGGGACAGATACCCTTGACACTCAATGAAGATTAAGCGATAGAGCAGAACGAAAGAAGTTAGTTCTCCTGAGTGAGATAACCATACGCTCTGCAATACTTGACCTTCTGTTTCGTTACAGCCTACATTTTGATGAGAACGATTCTACCCATACACCTACCTGGGTAGCTGCCAGTACAGCCACGCAGGAGCGAGGGTCCATCCATGGAGCACACTGCGAGGAGCGAGTGGTAGATAGGAATAACTCTAGGAGAAAGGGGCACGTAGCTGGGTCAATCAGCCAGTGAGCCAGAGTCGGAAAGTTCGCAAGAAAATGTTTCGAGACAACACGCAACAACAGGTGTCTTCCCCCCTACCCAAAGCATGAGGGCCCTGACACATAGAATCCACTGTCAGGGGTAGTCAGATACGCTGTCTCGTCATACACGCTGTTAGGTAACTAGGCCACATATACACTACAGATGAACTTAGCTGGGAACGTTTTATTTTCCGGGTCACACCCTCTCTACTCAGGAGGCCTCTCAGAAACTACTTGACTAATATACTTTATGGCACTGACCTCTTCTACCTACCTGCTATGTGGCCGAGTATATGCTATTTGTTCATTCCGAGCCACCTACACCTAGCACACGCTTGCATCGCCTGCTTCCCCACCATGATCATCGCCGAGGGTGAACTCCGCCCTCTTGAGTATCACGAGAAGCCTTCGATCGCTCCCGGGTCTACTGTCAATGATTCTATCGGCCATCCTCCGTATTCGTCGACAGCATTACTCCACAAAATACCAGAACGAGTGCCCACGAAGTGTCAACGGCTCCTACAGCCGGTATAGCATCCAGCATATAGTGAAGTGGTGTGGAAAGATCGCACATCAGCCCGGGGAGCTGAGGTGGTAGATGAAGATCTCTCCAGAACAACTGGCTTCGGACCATCTACTGAATTTCCCTACCGATGGTTCACCAATGAACTATCTCGTCCTCGTAGTCAAGCAGGGTTTTGTGAGGCATGTTGTAGAAACCATATGGTAGTGCTCGGTAACAACTGTCGCTGACTGGGGCAAGGGCATAGTCGTGATCGAGGTGATTATGATTCTCTCAATGCCGCGCAGCCTGCTGTAAGCGCTCATGAGGCTCTCCTTCAGTTCTTCCCGGGTGTGGAAACATTGCTCATGAATAGCAACTGTCGTAACATCTCTGACTTGATGAAGTGGTTTAGTCTAGTAGAGCTCAAGCTCCTTCATAGTATCGAAATCGAAATAGACAATGTCATTCCGCTTGTCGCGACCATAATCTAAAGAACTGCCCCTACTCCTTTAAGAGCTGCTATGAGCAGAGGCGATAAGGTCCTGCTCGTAAACTTGTAATTCTTTATGACCATTCTCATCTTCAGCAGCGAAGCGAAGACATAAGATCTTTCTATCACTAATAGTCCTCTTGTACAGAGGTCCTCCTTGACCTTCGTCGCTGACTTTAGTGCTCAGAGGGTCCAGCTCCACGGGAGTCATCACATTGGTCTGGAAAAGATGACAGGTTGTAGTAAGTGAAGTGTTAAAACATGCTAGTACATTGCTAGCAAGACAGCAATGCTTATAATAGTCGAATGAAAGGATTTCATGTAAAGAGACATCCGGATAGGGACTGCGATTCTGAGCTGCGAAGATGCAAAGTGGTAAGATCGGTTCAAACAAGATCTCACTGCTGATGATAAAGTTGTTCTGTGATGATCTCCACGGCCTTCGAGAGCCTCAAAAAGACGATGACATATGTTTCTGTGACTTTCATCATGGATTAGAGGTAGGATGGAAAGGCGGTCTCTGACCCGGTGAGTGTTGCGGGCGGATGTCTGGCCGACAAGAAACGCGGCAACAGCCTGATCTTGCTCGAAATGTTGACCAAGCAGATTGTAACTTCCACTTCGCACGTATCTGAATAGTGATCTTGACAATTGCACAGCCCCTCCTCACGA